AAATTAAAATTATTTTTTAAATTCATATAACTTCTTAAATATTTATCTTAAATATTAATAAACTTATATTAATTTGTAACTCATGTTACAATTTATAACTTTACTTAGAATTAAAGATGACGCAGCAAGTACATGACACTTATTTGTCATCTGTTGCAACACATTGCAACTTTAAATTTTATAAGTTGCAACTAGTTGCAATTAGGTGATGCTTTATTTGTCACCACGTTGCAACAGTTACCACTCTATCTTTACTTAGAACATCAATAAATATTTATTTGAACTCAAACTGAACTTTTAATTAGGTTTGAGTCAGATTTGAAATTCAAACTAAACTCAAATCAGACTTTTAATTAAGTTCAAATTTTTGAACTGGACTTTTGATCAAATTCAAGTCCAATTTAAGCTCAAACTGAATCAAACTCGAATTGAACCAGACTTTTTTTCAGAACTTTATTATTAATAATAAGTATTTTATATCAATTTGTAGTTCTTATTTCTGATTATAACTTTACTTATAATTATAATTTATGATTATTATAGCAAAATAAATATTTATTATATATAACTAAAGTAAATTAAAATTGTAATAATTAAATTATTTTTTAAATTTATATAACTTCTTAAATATTCATTCTAAATATTAATTAATTTGTAGCTCATGTTAAAATCTAACTTTATTTAGAATATTAATAAATATTTACTTGAATTCAAACTGAATCTTTAATTAAGTTCAAGTCTAATTCAAAGTTTAAACTAAACTCAAACCAGATTTTTAATTAGATTCAAATTTTTAAACCTGACTTTTTATTAGATTTAAGTCTAATTCAAGCTCAAACTGAATCAGATTCAAATTAAACCAGACTTTTTTCAGAACTCTACTAAAGAAGCTGAAAAAGAATTTTTTAGTACTTTTACTCAACATAATCATCTTTTGATATTTTTATCTTAATAACAATTAGTAATTCAAATTGATAATATAAAAAACAAAAAATCTATTTAATAACTATCACAAAATTTTAATAATAATTATAATCATCAATATCAATAATCTATATTTTATAATTATAATAAACTTGAATATATTTCTAGAAATTATACTTTATTATTTAACTTTAAATATTCAAATAAAATGCAAGTAAAAATAATAATTCTTGGAAATTTCAAAATATTCAAAGCTCAAATCAGAATAACAACAATAAAAATAAAAATATTCAAAATAATCAATCAGTTAGAATAATTTTAATATAATTAATATAATTATATTATTAATATAACTTTAATTTTTACTTTTGGCTTTGCAAATAATCACAAATAATTAATAATCTTTAAATGATAACTCTAAAAAGAAAAAAAGTCAAATAGATTATAATAATGAAGTTATAATAGTAAAAGATTCTAATAAAGCTAAATTTAGTAATTCTATTATTAGCATCTTATTATCTAAAATACAAGATCAATTAATTTTTATTAAATTAGAAAAGAAGTTAAAAAAGAAGAAAAATAAAGTAATTTTTCTAGTTTTAGTCAATGAATCTGAGCCATATGATATTCTAAAAGATTTTGTAAAAGCCAAAGCAAATATTTTTATCAGTCAATTTATTAGAACTTTATCTGAATAAAGACTTAAACTTTTTAAAAATTTAAGAAAGTCAATTAAATCAAAATATATTAATAAAAAAAAGCTGGAATAATTGAATAAAAACTAAAAATCACATCAGCTTGATATAAAATTAAAGTTAGAAATATATTTATATATCTTATTCTAGATATTATAATATTTGAATGTGCTATTAATCATGTTTTTTGAAGAAATAAAATATCAAAATTCAATAAAAATCAAATATTACTATAACTGATATTTTTGATAATATCAATCATTTTCTTGGAGCAATTGTATCTGCAAATATTAATATTATTCTAGCTTAAATATATAGTATAGTTATTAATATAAACTGATTAAACAAGATAAAAATTAATTTGAATTTCAAAAAAAATATTATGATATTTGAGTTTAATAGACAAAAAGGTCAAGCAAATATTAAATTATCTATAATTAAGTTTATAAATTATTTAAAGAAAATAATATTGAAAAATCCAATAATTCTAACTTTAAAGAAAGCTTAAATGAAGATGAATTAGAAATTGAAGAACAAAACTTGAAACAATAAATATTTTTAATATTTCAAAATAATTGAATTACAATAAAATCTCAAAATAACTTTCAATAATGAAGAAGATATTCAAATTATACTTGAAAAAATATGAATATTATAGAAAATCAAAATAGAATCTTGATATATATTATTATCATTTTACTTGAATTTTAAATATATTATATCTTTCTATATGCTCAATATATATTTCAAGTCAGATGAAAAAGATAAAATAAATAACTAAAGATAGTGACATATATTTATTAAATACTAGTCAGCTAGAAAGTGACTTAAGAAATCTTCTTATTATTTAATGTGTATTTAATATAATAATTATGACAATAATTTATAGATAAGTAAAATATTATAAATTTAATTTATTAAATCATTTCAATGATATAATATCACAAACATATGAGAGGTCAAACTATAAATATGATATTATAAATATGTAAGAAATTATTAATATAATATTATAAATATGTGAGAAGTTATAACAAAATTAATATAAACTCTAAAACTTAAATAATAAAATAATAAAAGAAATATTTTAATATTTTAAATATATTAATTTCAAAAAAGTATTATTATTAAAGAAGTTTATTTTTGAGTCATTAATATTTAGAACTTGACTTTTTCTAAGCTAAAATATATGCTTTTTTATATAAAATTATTAAATCAAAACTATCAATGATATTTACAAGAAAATTGCTTATTTGCTCACTTAATTACTCGCTTATTCACTTATCTTGTGATCTAATATAAATATAAATCATCTGATGTAACATAAATAAATAATTTATATAATATTTGTAAAATAATAATATAAATGTGATACAAATAATAATATAAATAATATAATACAAAATGTAAATATAAAGATTTTAACTAATTAAAATATAAATATATTCATTTATAATTATATTTTTCTATAATTATTTTATTTTGCTTTTTCAATTATATATAAATATAGTAAAAAAATCTCTCCCTATAATTATCAAATTGTGCTTTACTAAAAGTGATAATTATAAAGAAATTTGACTTTATTCATAAAAAAAGTATTATAATATTATAAATAAATATATCAATATTATTATATATTTTTTATAGCATTATCAATATTAATGTGCATATTGTTATTATTATTACTTTTAATATATTAAATATATTAATGTGCAGCTTTTACTTTACAAGCCTTTTTTAATTGTTTTTAATATTTTGTTGAATATAATATGTTCAGTTTGAAAATAATAAAATAAATTTATTACTATTAAAATTTATATATAATATGATTATAAATATTATATATATAATTAGACTAATAAAATTACTATTAGAAATGGGTAAAAATAATCAAATCATAATTTATTATTTAAACTTATTAATAATAAAGAATTTTTTGAAGACTAACAAAAAAATTTATTTATAATATTTTTTTAATAATATTAAAATATTACAAAATTTTAATATTTTTAATTATTATAAAATAATATCATTAATTACTTCAACTATTTTAATAATACTAATTACTTTAATGATTTGCTTTCATTAACGATTTTAATAATATAATAATATTAAAGATCTTAACGATTAAATGAATTGAAATTGGCTGAATTTGAATATTTTAAGCACAATATAAACAAAAATAAAAAAGAAACAATCTGAATAATATTTGAAATTGGCCAAGTTTGGCGATTCTCAAGCACAATATAATCTTACTCTATGTTTCCCGTAACTCTAAGTTTCGCGGATCCCGTGCAATGTAAAACGTGCAATTTTACTGGTGAAAATTAGTATCACAGGATATTTAAATTTGGTCACTAAAAGAGATAATCAGATTTCCTAAAAAAGGAGATCGGAATAAATCAGGTGCTCCACAAAAATATAGCGACTCATGATAGACTAAGGAGCGTCACTTATATTGACATTAATTAGACTGAAATATCTATAGGTCAATTTAACTGACGCTCATTATAATCTATAAAATCCGCCGATATCGAGATGAGTATTTTGTTTTTTAAATTTTCAGTCTAGCAATCATAATGGATATATACAAGTGAGTCTCGTTATAACGACATAAAAATTCTACTCGATTAATACAGTCAGGGCTCGATTTAACGACTATGCGATTTAATGAAATTGCGAGTTAGCGACTCTTGTTTCCAAATCATTATATCTAAATTGCGTTCAATTTAGCAATATCTATTAGTATTCGCTCGATTTGGAATTTGATTACCGACTCATCGGTAGAAAGTATATCATGCATTGTGAAATTTCGTTTTCTTTTGTTTAACTTCAAGTGATTCAGAATTGGAAAATTCGGTTTCTTCGGTTTGACTACGTGTTAAATATACGTATATATATAACGGTAACGGTAATGTTTTTCCGTTGTTTGGAAAATTGCATTACACGTGACCTAATAAAATAAGTTTCTTTATAGATGGAGATGTGTATTAGTATGGCCTTGTCGAAACAGCTGCATGGATACAAATCTCTCGTTAAATGATTGGATATCTAAAAAGTACAAACCCGACATAAAATTACAACAAACACAGGCTCATTTTTTATTCAACTTCAACTCGTCGTTTTCAAGGGAATATACGGCTACTCCTGTATTTCGTTCTTGCTTACTCGCGACCAGCCATTCTGGCAATTCACGCAATTTTTTGCTCATATTGCCATTTCCATTCTTTCCGCATTCCTGATCCAGTCTTGTTACAACACTTTACCTCTCGTAAACCTTGTAATTCTTGCTTGTCTTATTAATTCAGACAATTGAAAGCAATCCAATTCTTCCTCATCTTGCATACTACTTTTTTTCTTCTTTTTCCCAATACACAAACAATGCCGAGCAAGGCCCCAAAATACGTTTATCATGGTCATAGCAAGATCATCTCGGGTGTTATCGCGGTACTTGAAAATACTAGTGAGCCATTATCTTTGCAAGAGCTGGTCGACGAAATGACCAGACGACAACTAGTTGTTTTTCAGTGAGTATTTTTTTTTTCGAGAGCTCAAATTTATAGTGGGTACTCATCATCTTGGGTTTAACGGAGAATTATGAATTTTTTTACTTGTTAATAGTGGTGCTACCCCACGAAATACAGTTAGTGGTGAAATAAGCAAGCTACTTAACGCTGTAGGTCCTAACAATGCGCCTATTTTAAAGGTTAACCAAGGCAAACTCACTAAATTCTTTTTGAGACCGCGTCTCCAGCAGCAGCATCAGCATGATATGATGTATGTTTATTATTTGTATATTTTGAAACTTTATTTACTTCATTCTTTAACCTCATGATTCTTATTTCTGTCTTATTACAATAGAAAGCAAGCCTCTGGCAAGATTCATAAGAAAGCTTCACGTATCACGCGTCATTCTCGTCGTTCTTCATCAACTACTTCTGCTTCTTCATTATCGTCATCATCTTCCTCCTCTTCGGACGAAACAAACTCGATTGATCGAATCAATCCACAAAGAAAACGACGACAAATGGAAGATCTAAAGTATGTTATAAAGTTTTTTATTTATCTTCAAAGAGCATTTATTAACTAAAAATAACCATTTCCATCGTTGCTTAATATAGGGCTGCATATCTTCTTTCATGTTTATCGGCACACTCATTTTGGTTAACTTACAAAAATGAACCCGAGAAAGATTTCAAATGTTTTCTTGAGGTCCATCTTGGCATAGATAATGCACTCGAACATTCCTTAAATGCAGCATCTAGATCCATTACTGTCGTTGCGGGAAATTCAAGTACACACAATGGAAAAGAGGTATTCTCGAGCGAAGAAATAATGAGCAAAGGAGAGGATTGCTGTGCAGCCTTTTAAAGCTCTCTTCGATATAGGAGCCTACCATTGGAAATGGCAACGATTAAAAAAAAGCATAATCGGATAATACAAAAAGTTACAATTTCATTAATAATAGACTTTTAATTGTAGATACTTGTCAATAATCATTATTTCAAAACCCTAATAGTAAGTAATTCACATTAACATCGTCATCAATTTAATTCTTTTAGATATCATTAATTTCGCATCAGCATCATCAAGCTACAGAACATTTTGGAAATGGTTTAATTGTTTTTTTTGTAAATTAATACCTAATAATTAATTTTCACATCATGCTCTCGGTGTCATTAAATGACACCAGATAAACGATGTCGCATTAAATTGAATGGCCATTATGGGCTTTTTAGAATAAAGGTTCGAACTATAGAGCATTTAAACTTTCAATGTAATTATTTTTAGTAAGGCAACTCATGTATGTCGCTTTTGGCATTCATCAAAATATGTTTGCTCAATTATAGAAAATTAATTTACGTCAAAAGACAGCTGAATTAATAAATAATAAACAAAATTTTAGACTTTCAACTTCATATGCTAGAAGGTAATCCTATTATTATACGCTTCCTTCGATTATCAAGAAAGAATAATATGTCATCAAGTTGTATTTTCTCTTGGATAATATATTCAGGGTGATTGATTGGCTTGTTACTGTTCCCAAGTGATGGTATTATGGAATTTTCAGCTATGGTGAAAGATTAATAGTGGATGATGTCATACTTTGAAGCTCATTATTTGTTTTCAAGAAGCTATTGCTAGTATGAGAGTTGATTTGATGTATTGCTGATTCTTTGTCTGCTGGATTTATTTTTGATAATTTGTTATTTTGTTTATTTGAAGTTGAAGCAATTTCCATGGAGCTGAAAACGCTTGGTAATGTCTCTTGAATATTTTTTTTATTTATAGAAGATGCTTCTATATTTTGTGATCCATTTGTAGTTATTATTGGAGGCGTCATTGCAGGGTTTGTAGACGAAGGCGTCGTCGATATATTATTTATATGTTCTGATGAATATTGTGAAGCCAATTCTCGTTCTTTTTCTGACACACTTTCTGGCTGCTTCATCTTTTTTGCCTGTTCCAACTGTTGAATTATTGAGCGCGTAAGTGATGAATTTGCACGTCCTTTCAATTGAATTGTATCAGAAACCTGTTTTAACTTTTGTGAGGAAGAGGATTTTTTGATGTCGATTTTTGGAGAAGATTGAATGGAGACAGTTGACGATAAATTTAGTGAATTTGGTGATTGTGAATTTTTTGACGAATCATTTGTCATTGACAAAACGATTTCATTATTTTCGTTACGTATAATATTGGTCATTGGTGGCGGCGTTGCATACTAAAGAATACATTCGTTCATTATTTATTATTAATAATGACAATGAAGAAGAATGTAAGACTAAAAAAAACTTAAACTTTACCTGGAGATTTGGTTGATTAAAATGAACTGCAGCCCAAGGCGGATGATCAATCTCTAGCTGCATAATTTTCGCTTCTAATACTCGTAAACGTTCATAAACATTCAGCGGAATTGCTATAATTAGACCGTTGAGAATTAATAACCAATTTCTTACATAGTAGAAAGATGTTTAAAGACCTCGTTAAGTCATTTACCAATTTTTACATTCAAATGATCCTGAATATTTTTTAGCCTTTCCTCAACACCGATAGGTAAATCCACATAATTTTTATTATTATAATTATTTAAGCCATTCTTGTTATTATTAAAAGTTGAACGAGCCAATGGGCCATCTTCATTATTTACAACATCTAACTTCATTTGTATATTTCTATTTATTTCAGCGGCATCCGAGCGAGCACATGATGATGCTAATAAAAAACAAAACAAAATAAATAAAAAAGTCTATTCGTGATTTTTTTTACAAAATAATTTAGCACTAACCCTCGTTATCATTGGGATCGTGTGATTTCCTTAGAAATTCTGAACGATTACTATCGTTAATTTCCGATTTTTTTTGTTGCATAAAGGCTTCAATTCTTTGTTCAATCTAATCCAAAACCCGTCAAATAAATTAAAGTTAAATAGGATACATACTGAGTAGCAACTTCCCAAAAAATCGAATATACCTCAGAATGAGTAGCCCTTATTTGAACTTGTTGTGTATCAATTTTTTGAATTCGCTTTGCAGGCTTGTCATCACCACCTAAAAACAAATTTGGATTTAACAAAATAATTTTTTATTTCAAACATTTATCAATTGATACAACTATGTATACCACATTCTATTTTCCTCTTGCCCGTAATTTTTGAAATGTTTGATGAGCAGTCGGCTTCAATATTAGACATACAAGCCTAATAAAAAAAACGACTAAACTTTTATACATAGCGAATGAAACAAAAAACAGAAATCAAAAACATACACTTAATTTTTGCACAAGCCACTCAACATGTGTTGACATTTGTTTTCGTTTTGCAGAAGGAAATACGAGCATTTCAGTTTCTAATGCTCTATTAGTTTCTACTAGACCGACCTGTTAAATACAGAATTACTGTATAAAACACTTGAAAAATGGTCAAGTCAACAATCATGTTTAATTATTAAATTGAGCCTTACTTTGATTATAAATTCACTTAATATCTCGTGCCATTCTTGTATTGTTTCTCTATGAATCGTTTCTGGAGAGTTTATGGAATTCGGTAAAACATTTTTCTCAAAAGAATTAGAAAGTGGTCGCGTGTAGTTTTCCATATTAATGCACAGAAATGCACTACTACTACATTTATTGAATATTGAAGATTTAATTTTTTTATACAAATAAATATAATTTTTGACAAAAAATAAAATCTATGGCAGAATTTCGAATATTATAGAAAAATTACAAAAAAACGAATGAGATCTATAAATATCAATGGAATATTTTCAATGAGTCGCTAAATTTAATTTTGGTTTTGTTGTAGCAGGTGGAAGAAGTGAAGGGTCAATAACGTTCTCTTCGGTAGATAGTTGTTTGAACATATTGTTCCATGCTTCCTTAACATATTCTTTAGTGACATCACCAAATACAACACTGAATACATCACTGTACCATGCGACCGGCATGCCTCGTAAACCTTCTTTTACATTTGCAGGTAATTCTTCCCAGTCACTTATATTGGCTTCAGGATGAATTAAAGTTGTGACACCTGATCGTTTGGCCGCTACAGCTTTCTCACGAAGACCACCAATTTTCAAAACTTTCCCTGTGAGTGTCAGCTCGCCCGTCATTGCTATCGTTGGATCGAGAGCTTTGGACATAGCGAGAGACAAAAGGGAAGTCGCCATTGTGATTCCAGCAGATGGACCTAAATAATGCATTGAACCGATAACTTAGAAAATAGATACCGATAGATTCCAAAAAATTGACAATACATACCATCCTTAGGTGTGGCTCCTTCTGGCACATGAAGATGTATAGAGGCCCGTTCAAAGAATTTATTCTCTGGAAACCGTTGTGCCAGTAGACTTTTCGCATAAGTATAAGCGATCATCGTGGATTCCTTCATAACATCCCCCATTTGTCCAGTTTTTGACAAAGCAGGAGTTGAATTTGACGTAAGAGCTGAATCCAAGGTCGATTCAACATACAACGCTGAGCCACCTTTTTTCGCCATTTATAACATATTATCAAGATTAAAACATATCATCAAGATATCGTAATTAGATCATTAATATTACATACCCATACTTGTCCAGGCCAATCCCATAACTACACCAGGAGGAGTTACATCATACAAACGATCAGAATGGAAAGTCGGAGGCCCAACATAATCCTTCAAATTATCAACAGTTATATCCACATTGACATCATTAGGCACTTCTAATGGTTTACGTTGTTCCGTAGTAGTCGATACTTCGTCAGCCTTGCTTTTTTCAGAAGATATGGTATCTGCATCAGAAGAGCTTTCCTGTTCCTGTGAAGGTTCAACTTCGTCACCAAGGTCTACAACTATTTTATACGCTGCTTTTCGGTATATCTTATCGATATGCTTTTTGAGATTACGTACGCCGCTTTCTCGACAATAAGCTCGAATTAACACCTCAATTGCATCTGAATGAAGATTCACAGTTGCGTTTTGTAGCCCAGCCATCTCTTTAGCTGTAGGTGCCAAATATTTTGAAGCAATGTTGACTTTTTCATCCGCTATATAACCAGAAAGTTGAATAACTTCCATACGATCAAGTAATGGGCCAGGAATAGTGTCTGTAATGTTTGCCGTGCATACGAAAAGAACTTTTGAAAGATCCACTGGCACGTCCATATAATGATCTAAAAACGAATAATTTTGTTCCGGATCAAGTAGTTCTAACAAGGCTGATGAAGGATCACCTTGGTGACCACGTCCAATCTTATCCACTTTACAAATAAGAAATTGAGATTGAATAAAATTATCAGCATAGCATATATTGAATTTCCATATAAATAATAATACCAAGTATAATATTACCTTCATCAATTAAAATTAAAGGGTTCTCAGTTTGAACTTTTTTCAAAGCTTGGACAACTTTACCGGGCATTGCTCCAACATAGGTACGACGGTGTCCCTTAATTTCCGCCACATCCGTTAAACCTCCAACACTGAAGCGGTAAAACTGACGTGAAAGAGCGCGTGCAATTGATTTACCGATTGAGGTTTTACCTACGCCTATTTATAAAGCTACTCATTCAGTACATTTTTAAAACGCAAAAAAAAAATTAAAAATGAGATATCAAAGAACAAATTACCGGGAGGTCCGACAAGACACAAAATTTTGCCCTCAACCGTACCCCTAAGTTTACCAACAGCAATAAATTCCAGTATTCGGTCTTTGACATCTTGTAGCCCATAATGATCTTCATCAAGAACTTTTCTTGCATGTGAAATACTATAGTTTTCTGTAGATCTTTGTCCCCACGGTACTTGAGTTAACCAGTCAAGATAATTACGAGTCACATTAAATTCCGAAGCAGCAGGTTCAAGGTGAGCTAATTTGTTTATTTCCTGAAATGATCAATAGGAATCTAATTTTTTGATTAAAGTGTATAAAATAATATATGTGATTTCCATACAAAGTAATAACTTGCCTCTTCAAAGACTTTCTGTACTGCTTCAGGCATAGCCAATTTATCAGCTTTTTCTCGAAACTTTTCGACTAATTTATCTTTACCATCCGTTTCAATTCCCAATTCTTTCTTTATTCCTTTTAATTGCTCCATCAAATAATATTCGCGCTGCCTTTTGGCAATTTTTGATTCGACTTCTTTACTAATTTTGCTCTGTAATTGAGCATTTACTAATTCTTTTTTGAGAACTAGTAAAGATTTTTGTAGCCGTTCTTCAATCACCAAACTTTCGAGTACTTCTTGCAATTCATTTGGTTCACCGGTAGAAACGGCTGCAGCGAAATCAGCAAGCTTAGCGGGTTCTTCAAACACATTACCGGCAGATTGGGACATTGAAAAATTTGCAATTTGATCACGAAATAGCGGATTCAGAGTAGCAATATCTTTGAATACCGCGACAATTTCGGATGTTATTGCGCGAATGACTTGATTCTTTCTTGCATAGGGTTCGTCAACAAGGTTTTCAACATTCACGAGGGAAACATTGAAATCCTTGAGAAAAGAGGTGGCATATTGTTCCGACACTATACAAACAACACCATAATATAAAGTTGATCGGTGAAATAAAGCGTGATGATACATTATGATGAACAGCCGATAGGGAAAAGTGACTGGTAACCTTTTTGCGGTTCTTCTCTGACATTGTTATCTTCTTCAGCCTCCTCGGCCACAACTTCTTCTAAAGTTCCACCACCACCAATTTGATTTGGTGGCACAAGATCGGTAATTCGTATTCTTCTATGAGGATACAAGACAGCAGTTAATGAATTCTCATCTTGACCCCCATTTGCGGGGAAAACGCTCGTAATTTGAGCAAATACTCCCACTCGAAAAACTTGAGATGCGTCAGTGATCGTGTCAACGTCTGTCTCCTCATCTTTTAATAGAAAAGCACCGACATAGGGTTGTCCACGTTTCATTAATTCTTTTATTGCCGCAGTGACATTGTGATCTTTGATCACAACAGCTTTATAAAATCCGGGAAATAATGGACGTCGTGCAATTGGTAGAGCCAAAACTTGGGGATAAACTTCTGGCACTGACGGTTTCTGCAATGTAGTTTCTAATACGTGCAGAGTTCGTTGGATTCCCTCAAATGGTGATCGAGGGGGATTATCACCTGATCCATCACTACCACCTTTGCCAGATCCATTCCCTTTATTTCCACTTCCCGAATTCCCTTCACCACCGCCATCATTACCATTTTCATGGTTTCCATTATTACTATTATCCCCTTGTTCACCATCACCTTTTGACCCACTACCAGATTCTGACAATGTCTTATCGGGTTGTATTTTTTCTTTAGGGTTAAATACTGTAGTAGTAAAATGTTTAATTTGCAGCCCAGTCCAAGCAAATGTCCGTTGACAGTATGACCTAGTATTACATGGTTGTATTAAGAGAAGCGTGGAAAGAGGTTGATTGGAATGCGTCGTCGGCGGCCTAACAAAAAATACCCGAATATTTTCGGCAAGCGTAGTTTGTGGTTTCGCGCAACAAGTGCCCGTCGTAAAATGTTTTAAAGGTTGTGTTGTTGTCCATGTTGGAGCTCGCTGTAAATGTGATTTACTCGGTAAGAGTTTAAGACAGAAAAATGCAGACGATCGTGCGCACGCAGGTGTTGTTTTAAATAGGATTGAACTAAACATTTGACCAAATTTCGAAATGTTGTTCGCGCTGCTCTGGAATTCATACCAAAAAAATTTCTTTGAACACATGATTGATCTTCGGGAATATCACCCAATCATTCATTATCTTTTAAATATGATGTATTTACTCCGAAGATTATGTATGAACTTAAATATTCGTTATCACTAATTTGAATGTTAAAAACAATTTAAAAGAATGGCTTTGAGATTAAATGGCAAAGTTTTTACTTTAAGCAGTACTATGACCAAAAAGTAATTGGAATTTATATTATAAGAATTCAATATCACAATATAAACAGAAGTAATTTTATATACAATTTATTTCTGAAACTTTTGTACATATTCTTTGTTATTATAAACTTCTTTCAATTAAAAATTGACTTTGATATAAAAATGTTATTTTTGTACATGCATTATATATTTGTTCACATATTTTAAAATTTGTAAAAAAATCATAAATAGAAAAATATGAATTATATTGAAATTGTTTATTTATACTCTGCAATAAAATTAGTTTCTAATGTAAATATTGATAAGTAAAACAACATAATAAATTAAAAATTATATAATTATAATTTTTAGTAATTTAAAATTCACAATTAACTTTATATATAATTAAAATTATTTTGGTTTTGACTTAATTAATTGTATTTGTTAATTCAATTAATATATTTACTAATTTAATTAATTGTATCAAAGATTTAATATTTTTAATAATATAATTAATTTTCTTTATAATTATATTATTAAATTTAATAATTTTTATAATTATAATTATAAAAAAATAATTTTATTATATTTTATAATATTTAAATATAATCAAATTTCTCTATAATTATATTCTTTATAATTATATTATATAAAAACCTGCTATAATTATTCTTTTTTAATAATCAATTATAATAAAAATATTTTATTATAAGTATATTTATTATAAAACTTTTTATAATTATATTCAT